TCTCTCTTTTCCTCTGACGTAGGTAGTTAAGAGTTTCTTTCCTAAAATGTGCAGATTGTGCCTTTTGTCTCTAGCTGCCAACTGTGGATGGAGTTTATTAGGAAAATCTGCATCACGTTGGCATGGCAACGGAGCTGCCAAGCAGCTCTAACAATGATGCGTGGCAAGTTGTGGGAAGAAACGCGGAGGGACTTCATGTTTGGCAGAGCAAATTTGAAGTTAGGTTTGTTCGCTTAATAGCTGAGGCTGGCGGGGGGAGGCTGCTGGCCTGGGTCAGGCCGCCCAAGGCGTTTGCTTTTGGCTAGCCGTGTGTGGCATCGGGACGGTGCTTGCAGCAAGGCTTGGTGGGAAGGCTGGGCTGCGCCGTTGGCGAGTATATAGCGAGCTGCTGCGGCTGATCTTTAAGAGGATCTGGATTCCCTGAGAAGATCGTGTTTTCGTGCGGAGAGACGTCAGCAAGGGAGTAGGTTAAGCCTGGTTAGGTAACATGGCACTAGTGGCACAGTAGGCGAGATGGCTGGGGAGGGAATAAGAAGCCAACGGAGGTCGTGATTCTCAGGGGTACCAAACTGCTACAAGTCGTGCTCTCTTAAGCTTTTTAAGAATCCTTGAAATAAAGCCTCAGATCAAATATTCCCAATTCATGCAAGTGACGTGCAGTTCTGCAAACAGCTTAATGAGGACCTCATTATTATTATTATTTTTTTTTTTTAAACCTGAAGAACAAAATACCAGGGTAAAGATGTAAAGGCCCCTTGTGCGTTAGGACCAGAGGAGGAGAATGCTTAATGAACTTTGCACTGGCCAGGCAATCTGTTCAAAGAGAGCAAACAGAAGGAAATGTTGCTGTGTCCGCAGCGGTAGGGAAAGCTGTTACTGGCTTAAACCGGTTTTACTTCAAGTGCAGGCAGGATCATGGTGTTTTGGAAAGCTGGTTATTGGCTTCTTTCTCATGGGGTAACCTCTTTCTGGCAAATCTCAGGACTGTAACTTTATTTTAAATTTCATATTAGGAAGGGGGAGTCCCGTAATTGAGCAGAATTCTGAGCCTGATGTGCTTTTCCTTCGCTTTCCCCACTGTAGCGCTGGGCGTTATCCCGTGCATCAGACTACACTGAATTTTCAGAAGCCTGTAATTATATCCGCAGTAAATGATGCATGTGCCTCAGTCCCTCTTCAGCCTGCCCTGTTCTCGATGAAGCTCAGGAACTTGCTTACGAAGTGGTTAAACTCTTGAATGGTAGAAACTGGAAAATGTTGTTCTGCCTGGGCCGCTTTTCATTATAATGCATAACCAATTGAACTGTTTAATTGTAGTTGGGAGAGGAGGAAAAATTAGTATGCTGTCGTAACTGCTGTGTGGACGCTTGGCTACGCTCCGAAGTGACTGGGTCTGTTTTGAAGCCTGCCCTTGACTTTGATGGTTTCCTGGGTATGCGGCTTAATGGCAAACCTTCTCCAAACACTTTGTTGCCTGCATTAATAATTCCTGAGTGTTGCAGAGGAGAACCTGGTGTGTATGGGTTGCCTGCTCCTAGCTGGCACAACTGTTTTTTGGAAAACTCCCAACTAAAAGCTGGTCGGCTCTGGCACAGCAAAGCCACCTTTATAAAAAATGGAATTTTGAGGCTTTTATTGGCGCTTGATGTCCCAGAAGTGGTAGGAAAGCAGTAAATGGATGGTATCCTGTCCTCTAGTGTGTTAGAAGAATTTTGGGAAGTAGGAGAGGAAGATGGTGACAATCCCTTTGTGTTTTATGATGGGAGAGTTTATGATCAAGACTGGTTCCTGCTGTGCTGTGTGCATAAACCTCTGGAAGGGTGAGAACGGGATCAGAAAGGATTGACTTGATGCAAGGGACAGCAGGTGAGCCAAACCTCACCTGTGGGCCAAAGCCTCTTGGGCTAAAGGAGCTGCCTGGTAAGAGTTAACTTGCGATGGAGGGTGATGTAAGGTCTCTGCAGCTTAATGGGAGCCTGCTGTTGAGCAATTGGAGGCAGCTCACATGCCTCCTCCAGATCCGGTGTCTCGCTGCAGCGGGTGGGACTGTGCGACTCCAGCTTCCCTTTTAAGTAGAAGGGCAGGGCTTGTACAGCCAATAGCGCCGGAGCTCGGATAGCTCATAGGCATGTGTCTTGAGACTCGCCGGCATTTCCTTTCCACTACGTACTGAAATTAGCTCAGGGGATTCATTCAGTTCTGCTTCCCTTCCCTTCCCAGCCTGTGTGAATAGGAGGGCAGCTGAGTCTTGGGCACGGGAAGATGCTTTGTCTCTGTTTGTACGTGCCGGTGTTAGGGGAGTCCCAGACGGAGTTCGAATACTTTGAGTCGAAGGGGTTGCCGGCTGAACTTAAATCCATCTTCCGACTCAGCCTCTTCATTCCTTCCCAGGAATTCTCCACCTACCGCCAGTGGAAGCAGGTATGGCCGGGGGGAAAGACCTGATGGGAGAGGAGGGAGCGAGCAATATAATGATACTGTAAAACTCCTGAAGTGGCTAGTTGAAGGGAGAAAAGTTCATTGCAGCTGTATTGTTAAGAAGTAGATACAGCCTGGGCAAATTTCTTTTGCCGCTTGGCAGGGATTGCTGAAGCAGCATTAGAATGGACCTTTTTCTTTCCAATTCCTTTGGTTTGAATTGGACAGGAACTCTGTACCTCTAAGACTGTTCAAAACAGTTGATTTGACATACGCTACATCCTAAAAGGGTTTTTCTGAACTGAGGAGTCTTCAGCTTTGACTGACTCAACTTTTCACATCCTCTTCCTTTTTCTTGCACCCCTCCCTCTGTCCCACTTCTGACGGGAAGTGTGTAATCTTATGTCAACTCAAAAACTGGTGCGGTTTTGACCCAGGCGAAGGTGAGCGGATGTGTGCTGTTAGCCAGAGACTTGCTCAGTGCAAACTGTTTAGCAGTTGTGGAGGGACCTAACTGGGAGAGGGTGGGCAGGAGTGTTTCCCTTTGTGCAGAAGGGAGATGCGTGAGATCTGTGGAGGTCTCTGTTAGACTCTGTATCACAGACCTTTGTTTCAAGCTGGTGCTACTGGCATGATACCCGTGACCATGGTGTCAAGAGCACAGACAGCTGATTATTAACCAGCAAAGCTTGTAGGCTTTTTTTAAATACCTTTGCACACACACAAACCGGGGGCATAACAGACTTAGATACGTGTGGGGTCCCAAAGCGTGCCGCAGGAGCAGTGTGTTGTACAGCTGACCGTAGAAACATCGGCAGCAAGCCGTTGATGCTGTTGATGAGCAGCTCTGTCTACAGGGCACAAACTAAAAAGCTCTGCAGAGATTTTGTTTTTGCTGTTAAAGGCAAAGAGCTACAGGGAGATACTTGCTCAGGTCTTTGGAGAAGATGCTGGGAGCTTGACATCTTTGTCCTTTGCCCATTCGGGGAAGTAGCTGTGCTGCCTTTGCAGGTTACTCTTCTACAGGTCTGTAGTGTTTTTGCTTTGTGAATTTTTGCTGAGCAGGACTCCCTACTGTTGTTAGGGGAGTACTGAGAGAACGGGAGCAGTTGCACAGTTGCATCTCTTCTGTAGTGCCTCTGAATTACTGATGGCTGTGGGCTGGTTGAGGGTTACCAGTTAGAGGGAGGCCCTGAATCAGCTGTTCAAGGCCAATCGGCTGACATGTGAGAGGCACTAGTCTATCTTTAGCCTACGAGTTGAATGTGGGGCCACCTGTGAACTTTACAACAGTCATATGAGAAACTGCAGCCTAAGAGTACTAGGCATATCTCAAAGGTCACTGCAGCTGGGACAGCACTCTCTTATTTAAGGTTCATAAAATGATTAGGAATAATCTTAATAGCATTAGGGCTAAGGCGACCTAATAGGGCAGGAGGGAGACAGCAGAATTTTAATGGTGAAATATTTAGTATTAACATCGCTTAATGTGGCATTGAAGTAAAGGCCTGTGGCTTATGAAAGGCAATGTGCTCACAGGCAGAGGAAATATCGTAATAAGCTTAGATGTACCTAAATAGTGGTGAATGGAGGGTTAGTCTGGTGTTTGATTTCTAGTTCAGAGCTCCCTTAACGGCCCACCTGCTGTTCACCTAGACGTTATAAGACTTGAGACCAGAATATAGGTGGACTGAATCACACCTTGTTTAGTGTTGGTCACTGATTCCTGTTGAAAAGATTTATAGACTGTCAAAAGAAACTGACTGAGCAAGAAGGGGAATAGGAACTCCCTGAGCCACATTCCTGCAGTCTAGAGGTCACCTGCCCTGTTAACAGGTAGCCACGTGCTCTCAGATGGGACAGTCCACGTGCTGTTGCCGCACGAGGAGCGGGGTTAATTTTTAGTTTCTCTGTGTTGTCCCAGATGTCTGACACAGTTGGATCTTGTTCTAAGCTGTGTCCTATTAAAAACCTTTTCTTGTTCTATATGCATCTCATGGGAACTTGCGTAGTTAAAGTACATAGCTGCAGGGTACCTAAACCAGTTTATAGAAGTGTGTTTTTTTTTAATCTCTGGCTGTGTCCACTGGAGCTGCACAGGCTTTTTCTGGTTGGAGTTGGTTGTTGCCAGAGGCAGCTTACTACTTTAAGCATCATATGGGGCATGAAATTCCCCCTCTCATTCAGGTGTTTTTATTGCCTGAAGTTTTGTGGTTCGCTTCTTCGGCAAATCTGTTGCTTCATATTTCATGCACGTGGAGGTTCTTGAACTGTGTCGTGTAAAGAGTTATGCATGATACAGGTCTGAGATTAGATGCATGATACTAGCAAAGTAACCCGATCGGGATATGAGATGTTTGGTCTGCATAACTAGCTTTGGGAGAGTTGCCTGGAAGCAGGTGACTTTAAATGCACTATTGCTGCATTTAAATCTCTTTTAAAGAGTTGTCATAGATCTGTCCTCTACTTTCTAGGCGGAAAGCCAAGTCATCTAGGAAGTGATCTTTAGATATGGTAGAAGAAGGGTCAGATCTGCCTGAATGAACAAAGGAATTGACAGTTTTTGTTTGTCTTTTCGACAGAAAATTGTGAAGGCTGGAGACAAAGACCTTGATGGACAACTGGACTTTGAGGAGTTTGTTCACTATCTCCAAGATCATGAGAAGAAGCTGAGACTGGTCTTCAAGAGTTTGGATAAGAAGAATGATGGTAAACACCTTTCTCATATTCGTGAATAGACCCCTGATCGTGTTAGCTTATAGTATGTATACTTGAGTTCAATGACTTATCTTTGCAGGCCGTATTGATGCCCAGGAGATTGTACAGTCTCTTCGGGACCTGGGAGTCAAGATCTCTGAGCAACAGGCTGAGAAAATACTCAAGAGGTGAGGATTCAGCTGGTTCTTATGTTTTACTGAACAGAGTAAGCTAGATGGAAGTGTAAGGCTATGGAACCTATCTCCTCCTTCTGCCCTGCACACACTTTCCAGAGACTTTGGCTGCTCCCTTTTTGCCTATTCTTCATCTTGATTTTTCCATGAATTGAAACCTATAATGCCGTAATGCATTACGGAGAGTTACAGTCAGAATCTTGTCTTGCTGCCCTGTTGTGGGAAGGGGCTTACACCTGACCCTCTTTGCATCCCTGTCTGATTGTCCTGTTGCCCTGAGCTTGCTGCTTTGGAGAGGGGCTGTGCAGTTGCTGTATGGAAATGCTGAGTGCTTTATGCATGTGGCACTAACATGTGAACAACCACTTATTTGTGCTGTTTTTTCCTCTTTCTTTCCTCTGCAACCTTCCCTCTGTCTGTTTGCCTGTCTGTCAGAATAAGGACGGGACACTTCTGGGGTCCTGTCACCTAGTAAGTATTATTTTCCCTTCGGTGTCAGTTATGCTGGTCTAACTTTGGTAGGAGGGGGAGCAACAACTCCTGTGGTTCGGTTAAAGGGGAGAGAGAGGAAAAAAGGGAGCCCATTTTTAACTCCCTGTATTGTTTGGTGAAGAGAAGATTGCCTAGCTGTGTCTTGTGCCTCTCTTTAGAAGGCTTTTGGTAGTTGCTTTGCAGAGATTCTTGCAGGCCTGCATAATCGAAGGGAAGGGGAGGAGGAACTGGTCTCCCAGTGGCAGTCTGTGCTCATCTCCTGGTAAATCTCTTTAGCATGGATAAAAACGGGACAATGACAATTGATTGGAATGAGTGGCGAGACTATCATCTGTTGCACCCAGTGGAGAACATTCCTGAAATCATCCTGTACTGGAAGCACTCTACGGTAAGAGATGATTTCTCCACCCTAATAGGTCTTAGTCTTTTCTCAACCTCTTCATGAGAGCCCTAGCCCTCAGGAGCTGCTATCAGCAGTCTCTGTCTTTCTCTTCATGGTTCAGTAGCTGCCTTGCCCTAGAAGCCAAATCGCTTCCTGTCCTGTTATTTTGCCATCTATCACTGGTGCAGGTGATAACTGCACATTCTGCAGGCTGATGAGTGTGTTCACTTTGCTTGCACCTCTGAGAGCTCATACCAGTGGCCAGCTCCTGCTAGTTCAGAACCTGTCAAGACTAGAAACTGATAAACTGATATAACAGGCAGCCGTCCTTCCTGGACATATTTAATGCGTTGTGTATAGCACGTAACAAGCTTAAACTGGCTGGAAGCTCAGAAGGTTCCAGAGTGGTCCAGCTTTTTCCCCATGCAACTGCCCATTAGAATGATCCACAGTATTTTAATAGAGATAAGTGTTCAGCGGTTCCCAGTTTCCTGGACAGAAATCTCTAAATGGTGAAGGGTTCCCTTGTGACCTGCTGAGCATTCTCTAGCAGTGGCAGTGCCTGTGGTTAGATACAGTACTTAACAGATAAGCTGCTGACTTGAAATAAGCATATTCAGCGCTTCAACATTTAGCACTGATAAAGAGCGGTAAAACTTTGGTGAGATTGCTGGCTGATCAAACATTTCTGAACACCTTACGCTTTTGCAGATCTTTGACGTAGGAGAGAATTTGACTGTGCCTGATGAGTTCACAGTGGAAGAGAGGCAGACAGGGATGTGGTGGAGACATCTGGTTGCAGGTGGAGGTGCAGGTGCGGTATCCAGAACCTGCACAGCTCCCTTGGACCGCCTGAAAGTGCTCATGCAGGTACGATGGAACAGTTTCAGTTTATCTGAGTACTCAGGCTGATTCCTTTAGTGTTCTGGCCCAAGTGATGCCTAGGAGATGATAATGTCCATCAACGCAGTACAACACTCTGTCTGGGTTCAATCTCCTTGCTCTTAAGCTGGCATCTTTTGAAAGCTTTTTGGACTATTTGAGTTATTCAAGTCATGTTCGAAAGTTATTCTTCATTGTCTAGAAAAGATGTAGAGAAGGTTTGGGAGGTGGATGTGTGAAAACTCTCAATAGAGCGCTTTATGGTTTAGAGCATTGGAAAACTTGTGTTTTGGTGAGACAGGTTCAAGTCTTGTGTTCCCTTGAAAGACCCAGATGAAAGTGGCTGTGCTGGTCAGTTGGTGGAGCTGGTACTCAGTATAAGTATAATCCATGTTAGAAAGGAATTAATTATAAAAAATGATTTTAAACTGCTTTGTCACGGTACCTGCGCTCGAGCCAGCTGAGAATTCTATTCTTCTGGGTAGCCAGCCCTATGCTAGGTATGAGAGTTGCTGGTTTCACCCTTCCTCCCGTTCCAGAGGGAGATATTGATGAGATTCATTAGTCAACTAACGTTAGGCTTTGCAAAAAGGAAAAGAAGCTTGCTTTCCTATTGTAAAAGTTAGCTGGAAGGGATTAAAGCCTTGGTAAATCTTTGGGCAAATAAAAAGTGCCCTTTTGTCCCAGGATTACCGAAGAACGTAGTACTGTCGTAATCAGTGCTGGATCTGATCCAAGCGCTCTCTCTCTCTCTCTCTCTCTCTCCCAGGTTCATGCCTCCCGCAGTAACAACATGTGCATCATTGGCGGTTTTACTCAAATGATCCGAGAGGGTGGACCAAGGTCACTGTGGCGGGGGAATGGCATCAATGTGTTGAAGATAGCACCCGAATCTGCCATTAAATTCATGGCCTATGAGCAGGTGAGTAAAGGAGTATGGAGGAGCCTCACTGCAGAGGGGTCTGTGGAAGGACAAGATTTTGATCTGACTCATGAGAAAGAGGAAGGCTGGGATATAATCAGTGAGCCTCAATGTTTTTTCCTCCTTTACTTCTACAGATCAAGCGATTCATTGGTACTGACCAGGAAATGCTGAGGATTCATGAGCGACTGTTAGCTGGTTCTCTGGCTGGGGCCATTGCACAGAGCAGTATCTACCCGATGGAGGTAAGGCAGGTGGTTGATAGTCCAGCCCATGAGGGGTCACGGAAAGCTGCTGAGATGGGAAAATAAGGGTAGACCATCAGCTCTATGATAGCTTGCCTAATGGGCTCTTGGAGATGATACGGAGTAACGTTGCTTACGTGTCACTTGCTGTACTGCTGGCCATCTTCCTCTTAAGAGTAGCATTGGCTCTGCACTTTCCTCCTATTGATGCTTTTGTAGGTCTTCATGGCATTTATTCCTGTCTTCTAGGTTCTGAAAACACGGATGGCTCTAAGAAAGACGGGACAGTACTCAGGCATGTTGGACTGTGCCAAAAACATCCTTTCGAAGGAAGGAATGGCTGCCTTCTACAAAGGCTACATCCCCAACATGCTAGGAATCATTCCATATGCTGGTATTGACCTGGCAGTCTATGAGGTATGGAGCCTTTAACCCTTTTGTAGGGCTATGCTACTTGTGTAGCTTTATCACTGTCACACCTGTCGGTTAATACAGGAAATTAAATACCTTTTAAGACTCATCAGGAAGAAGCTTTGAAGGGACACAAGAGGATTTTAGCCCAAATGGCCTAAAAGATAATCCAGTACAGTGGATTCTCCTTTCCCAGTCAACACCATGCATGGCCCCTTTAATTTTCTGCCTCAATTCTCTTACCAAAAAAAATCAAGTTTGTTTCCCAGGTAGCAGTAGTTCAAGAAGATCTGAGAAGCCCAATGCTTCGGGCTGAAACTGTACATAAACTTCTCTGTGCCTTTTCCTCTAGGCTGATTTTTACGTAATCTGATATCCTTCTCATTTGCTTCTTCATTGCTAACATCTGGCTTGTTTCCTCCAGACACTAAAAAATGCCTGGCTGCAGCGCTATGCTGTCAACAGTGCTGATCCTGGAGTCTTTGTTCTGTTGGCTTGTGGCACCATCTCTAGTACGTGTGGACAGCTTGCCAGTTATCCCTTGGCTCTTGTGAGGACACGCATGCAGGCCCAAGGTGAGAACTTCTGGGAACTCTGGAGTAGAGTGTGAACCGCTGTCAAGGTCTCTGAGCGGGGTGAAGGTCCTCTAGTGTAAACATTGCAACAGCAGTCTTAACTAGCCTGAGCAGTAGCTGTTTGCCACACTATAAGAGGACAGCGGACTTTGTCCTGCCCTTAGCACTTGGAGTCAGCCACCTCCAGGACAACAGTTTTGGTTTGCTAGAGTTTTGGGCTGAAGGCCTCTGAAGAGCAATTTAGGAAAATGGCTGCGGTGTGCAGCATAGCCATGTCTTGCTGTGTAATCCGATGCTGTCCCTCACGAAGCACCTTTGGTCTGTGACCTTCCCATGTAAAGTGCATGAATCAAAACTGCTCTTTAAGACAGGTCTGTCTTTAAAGCGTTTTACTAGATAGGCTATGTTGTTTATTGTTGCTTTTCTTATTGCAGCTTCAGTTGAGGGTGCTCCAGAAGTGACGATGAGAGGACTGTTCAAACACATTCTGAAGACAGAGGGAGCGTTTGGTCTCTACCGGGGTCTGGCCCCGAACTTTATGAAGGTGATCCCAGCTGTAAGCATCAGCTACGTAGTTTATGAAAACTTGAAGATGACTCTGGGTGTGCAGTCACGGTGACCAGGAGATGCTGAGGACTTTGAACTCTGAAATCTTGGGCTGTGATCCCAAGACGTATAGCCATCTCTCATTCTGTGAATGTGTTGACACTAAGCTGACTAAGCAAAGCTGTGAAATCTCAGATAGCGTGTGAGTCAGTAAGGGGGAGGGGAGGATCTGGTGTCCTTTGCCATCTTGCTACTCGGAGCTTTTCATAAACCATCGTGTGGTCCTTTTTGTTGGGCCTTTCGGGAGACCAGGAGATGTGCTCCTGGGAGAATCTGAATGCGTGAATTGCTGAGGTCAGTTCCTAGCAGTACAGCAGAGTAGCAAGGATTGGGGGAACAGGTCTGCTTTCAGCATATGACATGTACAGAACTGTTTGCCAGCGGATGAGCACCTTCTGACTTGCTGAAAGAGCTTCTTTTTCCATTCAGTTGTTTAACTTCCTACCCATTGTTTAAATTTGTACAAACCTTGTGTAGGAGCTGCTGCCACACCAGGCTTGTTTATTATGTTTACATGTATTCTTTTGGGTAGGAGACATTCATGTTCTGCTTCCAAGACTTGACATGAAATGTAACTTTGAACTATACTGTTTTTTTGAGGGCTGGTGGGCAGTGGTTTAATCCAGTCAGGCTGAAGATTACTTAGGCCAGCCTGGTGAAGAATTAGGATTATTTATTTTTTATAGGTTTAAGTGTGTCTCATAAATCCACTAACAAGATGCACTTACTAACAGAAGCAGCAGACTAGAGCCTGCATGCCTGTATCCTTTGCATGCTGGAACTGGCTTGTCTTACACTCAGCAGGGGCTTGGAAAGGGGAAGGCTAGAGAGCCCTGGATGGACTGGCACCTTGATGCATGGCTTTAGGGAATAAATGACAGTATTTCACTGCTCCTGTGCAGTTGTGCTCCCAGCACTGCACGAGAGCCCCTGTGCAGCATTGCATGGACTTCTGAATTTCATTCTGCCTGGTGCCAAGGCTAGATGATGGACCTTTTCCAAACCCTGTGCCTACGCTGCTATCTATCTCTTTAGACCTCTTTGTAGATTGATGTTCAGGTTTGCATTAGAGGGATGGAGTCTCCAAGCCAGGAGTACGTCTGCTGTGGGAAGGGGTGTTAGGGAGAGGGGCTAGTTGTCATTGGGAGAGGTGAGCTTTCAGTCCTGAAGACAACTGCTTGCTTTTCTTTCAAAGGGTGCTTGT